TTTTTTTTGATAAGAAACTTTCATTTCAACAATCAAACGGATTAACCGATTACAGACAAACAAGCTCAAAGGCCTGATCGACAAAGTCTGAAATACAATCCAGAATACAATGAAGTTACAGCCGTGACTTAAACATACATGTAAACCCGACAATAAGTCAACTAATGCAATCAGCACTAAAGTACCCCCGCACAAGGACGGGCATTGTCTAAACTTCGGCCCCTCTCAAAAGAGAGAGAGCCAGCCTGGACCAACCACAGCAAACCCGAAACCTCCAGTAGCTCCAGCTTTCCACCGATCGAAACGCCATCACCACAAAAGAGACCAAACCTCCCAGACCCTGCCACCACCTAAACCACCACCTCCCCGAAACACAACCCAACCAACACCCATCAACACACCACCTCAACAAACCCACAACAGACCACGCACACAAAAAGAAAACACAACAACAAAGCCCTCAACCGATCGTAACCGGAGAGGTAAAAACCTCCACCGACCGAAGTCGGGAAGGGAAAAAACTCCACCGCCGAGACGGGGAGAGAGAACTAGGACTCCGAGGAGCCTAGAGGAAACCGAACGAGTGGCCCAAGGCCACTAGCCGGACGAAAGCCAGCGAAAACAAGGGTTAAAGGGGAAAGGGTTCGGGGAGAGAGAAAAAGAGGGGAACCCAAGTTCCAAAGTAATGAAGAATTAAGACATAGCAAAAGGATCAAAACGTCTACATCTTTTGACTCAAATTTTTTAACTTATTTGTTAGAAAATAAATCTAGAACATTCAATGAAACAATATCTAGTCTAGAAGCTCCTTTATGAAAAGCGGCTATTATTAGTGAAATTGATTCTATCATGCAGAATCATACTTGGGAGTTGGTGGATCTCCTACGGTAAAAAACTGTTAGGTTATAAATGAATTTTCAAATAAAAATTAAAAACTGGTGGATCAGTGGATAAATATAAGGCCGAATTGGTAGTTAAAGGATTTAAACAAAAAGAAGGCCTTGATTTTTTGGATACATAATCACCTGTGACAAAGGTAACATCTATTAGAGTATTAATTGCAATCGCAACATTGCATAATTTGAAAATTCGTCAGATGGACGTCAAAACAATTTTCTTAAATTGTGAGTTAGAAGAAGAAATCTATATGGAACAACTCGAAAAGTTCATTGCTCATGGACAGAAGAAAAATGTGTGTAGGCTCGTTAAGTCGTTATATGGACTAAAACAAGCGTCAAAACAATGGCATGTAAAATTTGACAAAACTATGTCGTCAAATGGTTTTAAAATGAACGAGTGTGATAAATGTATATTAAAATCACACCTAATGCATATGTAATCGTTTTTTGAGAATCTGTTTCCTTCTACTCAACAGTTGGAGCATCTTCACTCAAGAATTTTGTCAAATCAGAGTTGTGGGATAAAACAACATTTTATATTGTCATCTCTCAAAATCCACACCTATGATTTTTTTTAGATTTCTCTATGTGAGCATTGTTAGGGGGTACTACAAATGTGTATTACTTGCCATTATCTGATGACCTATGGTAGA